TAACTTTTGTCTTTAGCAGCACTCATATTCTCAAAAACCCGGATACACCACTGTATTTCAAAATATTGATAATATATTTCCATAAAAATTTAAAAAAATGCCAAAAAATATTAATTATACATGGTGTTCCACAAGTTTAGAGAATTCAAAATGTCTTATAAACATCTCTTCAAACATATTGTGTCAGCATGATGGAATTACAGTTTAGACTAGCTACCTCTTAAGATGCTGTCATATGAAAAAAGCTTAATCTCACTGCCCTTCAGTTTCTGTGCTGTATTAAAGTACCAAGAAATGCAAGTGACTCTTACATTTTGCATAATGTTTAGAAGGTAAGAAGAGGTAACCAGTCTGAACTTTATCCTTTCTAGTGCTGAAACAATATTTAAAGGGCTATGCTTATAGAACCTTTTTGGATCCCCTAGGCCTTTAGGACATGCTGTAAAAATATTGTCACTTCTTCACAGAACAACCTGTATTAAAATTTACTTATATTTATGTTTAATTAATTTCTGTACTTGATTTAATAATCAGTTGATTAAACATTATATAATGCTACATTAAAAAATAAATAAAAAGAATAAAATATATAAAAATAATTAAATGTTTTAAATGTAAATTCTGTTAATACTAAGTAATTTCCCATCAAGCATGGTAGGAAACTAGGTACTTAATAAAATATAAATACCATCAGACAATTTTTAATTTTAATCAATTATATACTTAATTTTGTCCCAGTCAGTTAGATCCTCTTGTTAATATGTTACTATAACATGAGGAAAAACATGACATGTATTTATTCCATCCCTTTCCATAGTTAATATATTGTTCCTAATGAAGCCTACTTACTTGTCAGATTGACCTGACTGGAACAACATGGAGAATTATGATGGTATAGATCAGGGGTGGCCAACAGTTTTTGCCCCCGGGCCGAATTGGAAGGAAAACTTTTTACACGGGCCAAACCAGAGGCTGCCCTAGGAAGATTTTGAGGTGGTGCGAGATCTCATTGTAGTGTCACCCCGTTTAACCATCCATGTATTTTATTATATTCTTGTCATATTAGCATCATCACAACTGTATTAGCCTTGTTCAGTACCACAATTTTCTGTAGTTTTAAATTATAGTTAGTACGGTATCAAGTTCCATACNTTAAAAATATAACTTTTATATTATTAAGCAAAATAAAATTTTGTGGGGCACTATCTGTTATGAGATTTTGTTATAAAAAGCATATTTTCAATTACTGTAAAATGGCAAAAAAGCTTAATTTTGAGGGCAGATGATGAATTTTATAAAAAGTGAAAAAAAAAATGTAAGTGTTAATAACAAATAAAATCTTCATTAATTTCCTCATGACATATAACACATGTCTTCCCTTTATCTCCTCACACTCTTGACCTTTAACTATCAAAATTTGTTAACTATCAAAATTTAATAGCATCAATGCACCTTATACATAAGCTATGAAGCCAAATTTTGTTTCTTCATCATTACCCCATCCTGAGATGTTAAGTGAAATAGACACAAACATGCATTAACACATGGAATTTTTTGCCTTTTTTTGGATTCAGATGATCTCAAAATGTGGAGATTTTCAAAAAACTCAGAGGTTCAAATTTAATATGATTCCAATATTTTCCCTTGTTATGTATGCATAACAGCTGGGAAAGTAAAAAGGTGTGGCTACACGCCATATTTAAATTGTATATTTTGTGTATAATTATATTATTTTTACATTGTATATTCTCTGCTTCCTCTCTTTGTCCTATCTATCTATCCTTTCTGGAATGTTCTTATTTTACCCTTTCTTTGGTATGTGGATGACTAACCCCAGAAACAAAGGAGATGAATGCAGCCCTGAGGGAAAGAGGGAGAACACGTACATCATTCCGGAGCAGAAACCTGAAGGAGAGAGAGAGAGAGAGAGTGAATTGGAGTCTCCCCAGAACATTTAGCATTGTATCATAGAGATGAGAACTTTGGAAATGAGAAATAAAAAAAAGAAATTGATTATGAGAAATAAGAACGCATCGAGAGAACTATTATTTTAGAGAGTGATAAAAGTGAAGTTAGTCACCAACCCAACAAGACATATCATTGCAAATAGTATATCTCATCAAGTTGTGAATACTCTCTTTTCTATCCCTTACTATTGTTCTCTAACTTTCCTAATAAGCCTTTTTCATTCAATAGTTATAAGTAGTTATAAGAATCTAGTTTTAATTTATATAATTTTAAGTAATTACATCATCGTGTCAGACAAAGAACTACACGTGCACATTCTTTGTCAGGAATCTATATTGTACAGTGGTTGGATTGTGTGAATTATTCGGTGGGAGTAGCGTTGTTAGTATCCTCTGAATCCTGTATCATAACGAGCGAATTAATAAAATTATTGTATCTTATTTTATTTATTTTCGATTTTGTGTCTTTGTCTTGTTCATTGATCTCACAAAGGTACTGAGAAGATTCTATCACGAAAATGTAATATTTTGAGAGAATTGATAGCAAACTGTATATTAATGTGCACTTTCTAAAACAAAAGGCTATCATTTAGCTGACTTTTTCAAAATGTCATTTTAATGAATAAGTATAAATATTTACATTTTATACTTAGTCATCAAAATAATATAAATGGTCTTTATGATCTAGAATTATAGCACTAAACCTCTGTTAAAGAAATCAGAATATACATCCTCCTAATTATCTTTTCTTTTTTGAAGTTTGATTGAAGATGCCTGAGAGAACATGATTAATAAAACAAAAAAGAGAATGAGTTTAAAAGAATGCCTAAACATACCATTAAACAAACATCACAAAACCTGATAAAAATCTGTAAAGCCAAACAACCACCAGATTATATTGGGCTTCTTTTCCATGATTATATTTAATTAATTAATTACTAAATTATTTGTCACTAAAAGGAGGTGTTAGATGTCATCTCTTATTAAATTTAATAAGAGATGGCACCTAATGCCTCCCTCTAGTGACATTAATAATTTACTAAATAATAAATAATGAGACAAATTATTTAGTAATTAATTAAGTATAACTGCAGAAAAGTAGCCTGATGTAATCCAGTGGTTGTTTGGTTTTACATACCATTAAATATATTTTCCTTGTTTTTTCTTAGAAGCCAGAGGCATACCCAGGATCTAAACTAGAGGAGGGCAACTTGAGGAATTGGGGAGGAAGAGTGAGATTTCACGACAGATGGCTCTAGTCTAGTCACAATAATCATTATTCAAACTGATACTAAATTGATACATCTGTGCTGTGTGTCTGTGTGTCAAGTACTACACTTTAATTTTTCTTCTAGGAAGGGCAGCTGCCCCTCGCTGGGTATGCCCTTGTTAAAAGCTATTTTCTAGTTAACAGTATTTTTCTAAAATCTATTTTATAAGAATTAAAAAATTTACAAATTAGATTAATATTTTCAGTGAAAAATTATTCATTGAAAATGCTATATTTCCTTGGTTCTAGAATTAGCAAGGAAATTCTAGGATTTTGAGATAAAAATTTAAGATTTTTTTTTATGGAGGGGAACATTTTTAAAGTAATTAATTTATTAAATTTTGTTGAATAACAGAAGAGCAATAAATGTAGTAAATCAAAAATTTTTGTTTGTATATTGTTTGTTTGAAAAGTATTGTTTGGCACTTATGTCTTATAAGAAGTGCTAATTGTTATTTTGGACAGTGAATGTAAGATGAGAATGCAATGATAGCATCTAGATGACTTACAAACAGCCTTTTGTACTTTTCCAGCCGTATAACATTTCTTGTATACCAAATTATACTCTAAACAAATGTCTTTGGTTCTGTTTAGGGCCTGCTTCAGACTTGCATCAAAAGAAAAAATGAGAGAAAGCCGATAATTCTATGTTCCAAATTCCAGAATGTATTAAATATGTTCTTTTACTTCACTGCTATAACCAAATTGATCTTTTGAAAATAAAGTTGATTACAAAAATTATTGCTGTCAATTCCACAAAATTTCATATTATTAATTCAAATTTATATGAAATAAATGTGGTAAAAAAAATTTTTTTGAGATACTAACAATGATAATTTTTATAATCAACTTTATTTTCAAAAGATCAAGTCAGTTAGAGCAGTGATGTAAAAAAACATACTTAAAACAATCTTGAATTTGGGACATAGAATTCTCAGCTTACTCTTGTTTTTTTTTCTTTGGATGCAAGCCTGAAACAGTCTCTAAATAAAGTCAAAAAATGTTTTTCTTAAAGTATAATTTGGTATACAAGAAATGTTATACAGCTGTAAAAGTATGAAAGGCTGTTTATAAGTCATTTTTTTTTTTTTTACTAATTTCAGAACTTAGTGATAGCATCTAGTTTAAATAAATAAAAATGAGTAAAAGAGTGTCCTTGTTCTTACAATTGAAAAAATATGGTATTTTAAAAAATAAACTTTAAACTAAATAAAATAAGATAAAAATGAATTTTACTATTATAAAATCTATTCAAAATAATTAAAATTAAATTTTTCTTCATTTACAAATAATATGTCTCTCAGACACATATGGAAGATGTGGTCTAAAAAATATTATTATTAAAATGCTTTTCATATTACAAACATGCTAGTTTATTTAAAGATAAAATCCAACATTTAACAGAAAATGTACTTTGCAGTACAGATGTTAATAGTTAATTCATAGTTATTTTACTTTTTCATTTGAATCAGCACCAGAAAAAGCTCATGACAACAGAATTTGTTTGGCAAAATAATAATATGTATATATATGTTAATTTAAAACAAAGCAGAAGTTAAGCAATCTGTTAGCATATTTTAATTAAATTAAAAAGCACAAAAGGCTAACAGAAATGTATTAATTAGTGCATTAGATTCTGATAAAAAAAATTTAAATATAAATAGTTAAATATAAAGTAAAAAATACTGCAAATATAAAGCTAGTGACTTTCTAAATATATTTTACATAATATACAATATTATTTATGATAACATAAGATTTACCTCTTTATCATTATAAACTTTTGGATGTACAATACGAGATGGAGTTCTTTCAAACTTTGTTAAATCTTCTGATTCAGGTTCTTCTAATTCCTATGACATTAAAATTTGTATAATACTTATATAATTAAAAATAATCAGCTTAAATTACATCTACAGTACTCAACTTATCTTCACTAAAGTTATTATTATTTAATTAATCTTAATTCAAGAAATTAACTTTATTTTAATGTTACATTAAATATAACATATTTAGATAATTTTATTTTATATCTATCATTGCAATTCTTAACAATAAAATTAAAGTAATCTGAAATATTAAACATTCAAAACATTTTACTTTTATTTATTTATTTTATACATAATTAGGAATTGCCTGATGGCAATTGATATCCATCCCCCATTTAACAAACACCCCCAAAAACATAGTGCAATTAAAACCAAAAAATAACAAAATATGTATATACAGTCAAACCTCAGTTTTCAAACAATTCAGTTCCCAAATAGAATTTTGAATTCATAAATGCACTGGTTGCCATACTATAACTCAGGTGCCAAACAACTACTTGGCAGGAGTAGGCCACAGATGGTTAACTCTCCATACTTGCTATCTGATTAAAGAAAGATTGTTAATTTAAAAAAGTTGACAGTTCAACGAATCAATGACAGGACTACTGATTCAGAAGTTAGTGGTGATGAGATTGCCTCATTAGACATCACAACTCGAATCATTGATAATGTTGCTATTTAAATTAGATTTTAATGTGCATATGGAAAAGATACTATTTCTGTTTTTCTGTACACATCACAGTTGAATCTAAATGAAATTAATTAATAAAAACTGTGTTAATTGACATTTACGTAATATAAATGGCATTGAAGAATTTGTGTTGAATTTGTAACTTAAATATGCTTAAATTAAATTAAATAACAAAAATTTATTAATATAATATTATATTGCATTTATAGGTATTTTTATGCATGAAATACAGCTAAAAAGGTAAAAAAAAGGCTTTGTTTTCAAGATGAAAGAAGCTAAATGAAGAATTTGTTTTAGAAGTCAGGAAGGATTAATTCAATTTATATTGTTTCTTATGGAAAATTTGTTTTGGTTTTAGAACAAATCAGTTTTTTAAACAACTATTAAAAATGAATTATGTTCAAAAACCGGGGTTTGACTGTATAAATATAAATTATGTGTTAATGTGTAAAAGTAGAGCAATTTAAAATTTTATGATAAAAGTAAAGTGAAGACGTTTTTTAATGTTCATTGACTTTTTAAAATAAAATTCATTAAGTTATAAACAAAATAATTAATAAAAATATTCTTTTTCAATGCTAATTGTTTTGTCAAATTGAAAATTTATTTTATGTCAGTGTTTAAAACCTAATAAAATTGAATTAAAATTTTTCTTACCCATCCTATTGATTCAAACATTTTCACATCCAATGTATAACCCAATAATTCACCATTTAGTACTGTCAATGAATGACAAGTTGCCATACTTATCACCAAGGGAGAAATTGGTAAATGAAGAAAATCTGTTATAACAGGCTGAAAACTAAAAATAATTATTTTTTAATATTATTCAAATTTTAAATATAAATATTTTAAAAATATATACATAATTCTATTTTATGTTTAATTAAGTAAATAATGAAATTCATCAAAACTATAGAAGTAAAATAACAACCAAATATTGATGATACTATAATTTGAGAAAACTAATGAAAAAGTACATAACAATTCCAGATATTTGTCTTCTAATTTCACAGAAAGGAAATTAAAAATTAAAAAAAATAAATGATTCCTTCAATGCTTTTAGACTTCATCATAATCAAAGTCACATTTCAGAACACTATTTCTTTAGTAAACATCTACAAAACATAATATACTCACTGTTTTATTATACACTTTACTTCAAATGCAATTGAAAATAAGTAAATCTAAAAGTATTTATATATTAAACAAATCTTAACTTCAAAAACAACAAAGCTCTTTCTTTGTGTACTTTAAGTAATTTAATAAATAATCTACCTTACAAACATCTATATAACATTTCAACATAATGTTAGAATTAATAATGCACATAAAGAATAATCAAATGGCAAAACTCACAGTTAATATTTTAATCTATAAAAATTAATTTTTATAGATTATTTAATATACTAACTATATATATATAAATGGACGTGTGTGTCCCTATATTTCACTTTTCAGCCAAAACTACACATCACACATGAATGGTGTTTGTATGTGGTAGTAGTCCCAAGTCTCCATTTGTGCACTATGGTGGTTGCGTCTCAATAGCTATAAGGGTGCGGGAGATATGGGGTTGAATGTGGTTGAAAGTGGAAGATTTTCTATTTCAATTTTATTTTTAAAATGTTCGAACCGTTTTAAATTCGAATTTGTTTGATTATAAAACGATTGTAAATGTTCCAGAAAATTGATCAAATTCAAAATAGTTCGTTTGACTGGACGTGAACAGGAGACGTTCTGTCTGGAAACAGGGGACCTAATTCTTGCATTCTGTGAAAACAGGTAAGATTGGCTATAATGTAATTATCTTAATCTTCACTATCATTACTTTTTGCCCAGTGAAGCAGGTCTTTGCAGCTAGATTACTTAGAAAAACAGTCTTTTATATATAAAAAAAA